CTTCAGTGACTCATTGGTCACTCAATCGCATGTTATTTAACTTCATGTTGTACATTGTCTTTTTCTCTCTCTTGTTGATTTTGTTTTATGGCTTTTCATTCACAGGGATGTATAGTAACTGTGTGGTAGAGACACACTGCTGTATTAGCTCTTCCTCAGAATCATTGCGGTTCCATTTCCCTTACTTTTTAAATTATTATATTTTTTATAATGTACTTAAAATCAAATGTTTGGTTACTGCTTGATTACGTAAAACTTTGTTGAAACTATTCCCCATTTCCTCCCATTGCTGTTTCTTTATATCATCTTTATTGTTCTAATGCTTCCTACTTTCCTTCAAAGATTTAAAAGCACTTGACAACTCCATTTCCACCTAAAATGTCACCCTCGTTATCTAGTACCTAGTTCTGCTCCCAATACATAGTTATGCTTCTAAATTTCTTGAAGGTTATCATGAATATGTCCATTTTGATTCAATTCAACAGGTGTAGAAATTTCAAAGGTGAGTGCCATCAGACATTCATTTTGTGCCAGGTGCTGCTGGGAAAGAAGTCCATAAATCACTGAAGCGACTCCCTTCAGATGATTTTCCGTGAATTGTGACAGAAAGAAAATCAAAACCAAATCAAAGTATTTGCAAATCACTTTTGTGGTTATGCTGACACTTGTTTGTATGTTTCAGGGTGTGGTTTTTTGGGGAAAGTGAAGAGATTGCCCAGGAAATTAGAAGGTTTCAAGAGCATTCAGCGTCTTTCTAGCCTCTGAAAGATCTGCTTCACCACAAGACATGTGCAGCAATTGCTTCCTTTTCAATTTAAGAAATGCTTTCCAACTTACAAACTACTAAAGAACTTAAAGGTTGTCTGTTGATTTTCTTTTTATTTCGGAGTCAGAAGGACTCAGGTGAGACTACATGTAGTGTTTTTGAAAGATTTCTAACCATATAAAGATAAAAGTTAATCTTTAAAAACGTTAAAACTGATGTATTGTGTCTATATGTGCTGGCTTGGCTAATTAAAATAACATTTGCACATTTAAAATACCACATGGCTTGCTACAAAATTTCATAACTAACATGTTTACTATGTGTATCTTCTAAATTCTTAAATAAAATTTCATCAACTTCTGAACTGACATTTGACCTCTGAGCATCCCATGTTAAATACTCTTGAGTTTTCCAGCAGATGTGGGGGTGTTGGTATTTTCAGTGGGCATTATTCTTTATTGAATTGGGGCTGCCTTGTGTTTGCAGAGTTTAAGCTTTTTGAATCATATCACAAAATATCACTTGATTTTCTATAGAGATAATGGAAATGCCTGCATATATTTCCAAGTCAATTTGAAAACCAGTGTATAGGAGCAGGCATTTGAGCTAGCAGTTAAGAGAGACATCATTTAAGATGCTCACATCCCACATTGGGATGCCTGAATTTGATTCCTAATTCCTGGCTCCAGCTTAATGCTAATATGCTCCTTGGAAAGCCGTGATGATGGCTAAAGTAATTGGATTCCCGCCACATACATGGGAGATCTAGAGAATGTTCCAGCCCCAGGCATTTTAGCTATTTGAGAGAGTAGATGGGTGCCTTATTTTCGTGTCTGTTGCTTTCTCTACATCTCAACCAACCAACCCACAAAAAAACACCCCAAAACCAAAAAACAAAATCAAACTATTGAAACATGCTCAGAACATTTTTAACCTCATTTATCATTTTCCTACTCATTATAGTAAAAAATTTAGGCACAGTACTTTTCACATGGTGCATGTGATAGCCCTTGAAAATGGAACAAGAAAGAAGGATCCCATTCTTCTATACAATGAGTATTATTTTACCAGAACTTTTTTTCATAAAAAATTGCTTTTGCCTGTATTTGTATGTTTCTTTTCATACTGCCTTCTTTTGCAAATGTAGTGCATAATGGAGTTATACGTTGTGTGAGGGACCTAAAAACGAATTAAGTGCAGCAATCACACAATAGTAAACTATGATCAGTGTAATGTTTAGAACTGAAGTGTCTTATGCATAGCAGAGTTCTTAGATCTTGTTGGGGAACTTACCTCACACATAATTTTCAGTGTTTTCCTGCATACAGGAGGCCCAAACTGTTGAAACAGTAGTAAAACCAATAAAGGTTTTCGTTGCATCATTCAAAATGAAAGATCTTTCCAGGTCTACCATGGAAGAACTTAAGTCCAAGAATTTGTTCACCAAATACATAAACTAAGAAGTTCTAATTTCTAATGCAGGCAAACAAAATGTTTTCCTCAGGGCTTGTTTTTAGCAAGCTAATGTTTTTACTAGCAAAGCCTACTATACAATGTTACAAGGTTTTTCTATTCATTCAAGCTTTAATTTCAAGAGAAAATAGTGGTCAATACTTGTGGCATTGCTGGCTAAATGAACAAGGTGAGAGATTCTTTTTCAAAAGGTTTGTATTCTATTAGGAGATATGGACAACTTATTTGCTAATGATAAAGGTAACATGATATGCATTTAAATTATAAATGAGATAGTAAGAATGAAAACGTGAAAATTCTTTATGCATTTACTTTTCCATTTTTATTGTTTATACTCTTAAAATTATAAAGTTTTTATAAATTCGAAGAATTTTTATGAATGATACATGCGGGACAATGAGAAAGCAATGTGAGTTGCTCACATACTGTCTAGACATTATAGTCAAGTTGAATATTGGATTTTTAAAGTGTATTCATAATCTTGGTTGAATCGTCTATGATTTAAATGTCAACATCCTTGTAAATAGCTCACTACTAACTGGGCAGCCTTGTTACTTGTCCAGTAATATTTGAGCTGCTTATGCTGAAACCAATATTCCCTTGTGGCTGCTAAAATTGTTCCCTTGAATCCATTCTTACTTTTTTTTTATTATGAGGCCCCATACCATGTTTTAAATAGATTTAGATATTGGAGAGGCAGACTGACAGAGAAAGAGGGAGAGAGATCTTCCATCAATTGATCCACTCTTCAGATGGGTGTAACTGGCCGAAGCTGGAGCCTGGAATCCCATTTGGGTCTCCAATATGGGTTTCAAGGGCCCAATCACTTGGACCAGCATCCATTGCTTTCTCAAGTACATTAGCGGTGAGCTATATGAGAAACAAATTATCCAGTACTTGAACTAGCGCTCCTATATGCGATGCCAGTGTCACAAGTTGCAGCTTAACCCATCGTGCCATTATACTGACCCGTCATGTGGCATCTTCAATGAGACACATGGTTGCCCAACTAGAGTCTTACCTCCTTGATTACTAATGGGAGGTAAGTAGAGGTGGTGTGTATAATTTCTGCACATCTTCTGCATATCTTATTTTATCCACTTTCTTACATTTCACATGGACAGGAACATTGAAATGATAAGTAGTCAGTTTTGAATATCCAGAGAGGAAAGCAGGGCCAAACGATGGAAAGGACATGAGGCTCACAGAACTGTAGAGAAGAGGCCCCTGGTCATTCTGGGGATGCTTTTCTACCTTTTGTGGAAGAAAGAGAAAGGCAGAGCGAGAGAATGAGAGCAAGAGAGCAGGAGATTTGGAGACTTGGATCAATTAATAGGCGGATTAAGAAGATTAAGAATGGGGGGAAGAAAAGGAGTGAGTTGAGAGGAGAGAGAAGGGAGAAAAAGAGCAACTTATAAGAATGTTGAGGTGGGATATATTTTGAAGGGCTGAAAGCAGGGGGGTAGAGAAGAGTTAAACTGATGTCCTCTCAGTAAACACAGACCAGTGAAGAGATGGGGATAAGCTCTAGCTGAGAGATAAAAACTGAGGCTGAGGACAGCCACACAGGAGTAGGCAGGAATTTACACGTGCTTCTCCACATGACTAAAGCAGTCACGTCAAGCCAGGTGAATGCCAGGCTATGCCATGCAGTATCTGCTCCACCTGCAGCTCTCTGGCCCCAGATGTGGTCTGCCAAAGAAACCACAGGAATTCAGGAGACATAGGCTCACACCCAATTCCTGGTGGGTGATCTTTGCAGTAAACATAGATGTTCAACCTTTCAATTTCTTTCCAAACTCACCAATAAAGTTGTTCATTTAATGGATTATCTCATTTGATCATTGCATACCATGAAGCTTCTTAAAAATTTCCCCAAATTTAACATGTACTCCCACCTTAATCATGCTAGAGTGAGAGGGTATGAAAGAGACTTAATTAGAATATTTTTTTTTTAGTGAGTTGGCCCAATGTGTCCATCAGATAATATAGCAACACATTGATTGAAATGGATTTAGATGATTTCCCATTTGCTTGAAGTTTATATTCATAGTAAAAGATGTGGGAAAGTGGCAGCACATTCATTTCAAGTTCTTATTTAGAGAATGAAGAAGTTTATTTAAACATAAACTAAAAACAACATGCCTGAAATATTGCTTGTTCTTGAAAGGAGTAAGCTTTGTAGTCATAGTGTTGCAGTAAGTAACTTAAGCTCAGGTCCACAAATAGTAGGTGCCGTGATTTCCTTTTCTTTTTGTTCTTTGTGTAGTCACTCAACTCTCACTGGGAATTGTGTGCCTATACAGAGATTTAACCTCAGATTTAATGCCGTACCAGGGCAATTTAATAAGATATTTAAAATATAAATAACAATAAATTATACAAATAAAGATTTTTTTGGCATCCTTTAAGTGCAGGGTTAACTGGAATGGCTAAAGGAAAAAAAAATCCATAAAAGGATTTACTATTTCACCTTATTTTTCATTCTGTAAAATTTTGTTTTGTTTTATAATGTTTATTTGATATTATAGATCACAGATAAGACCAGAGGTAGAAAACAGCACAGCAAAAAAATCCTCAAATGAAACAAACAAAAAACAAACAAATGAAAAACAAAACAATACCAAAAAAAAAACCCCAAGACCACACATACTTACAAACTCTCCTGAAATAAGTGTGTTTAAGAATTAATAAGTTACAGCCTTCACCCCATTGACTCATGAGACTCCAGTAAAAGTCATGCTTTTTGGCGTTTTACAATTTAAGTATGCTCTCGGCACCTAATGAGCTTTTTAAAAGCCAGCTTAAAGTCTTCATTAAAACTTGTGTAGAGCAGAGGATTGATCAGAGAATTAACATAACCAAGCCATGTCAAAAAATCAGCCACTTCTGTGGATACGGTGTGGATGCTCAGACCTACAATCAATTCTTTGATGAAGAAGGGCAGCCAGGACAAGATGAATGCACCTAGAATCAGTCCCAGGATACGTGCTGCCTTGCGTTCTCTGGTGCTGGAGATCTGCTGGCGTTCTCCAGGCTGATCTAGATCATTGTCAAAGGGAGGGATCCTGATGGAGGAGTGAATCTTTTCAAACTCTGTGGTGGGATCTGAGGTGGAGAAGTCAGACACACAGAAGGTCTGTGTAAGCTTACAACTGGCAAAAGAATTCTGACTGTCTGTGCTTCTATTGCTCAAGTGACGACTCGATCCTCTCTTTTGGTAAAGGCTCTTGGCTGCATGGTAAATGCGGTAATAGAGAATCAGTATCAAAGTCAAGGGGATATAAAATGCCCCAAATGTGGAGTAGATGGTGTAGATGACATGGTCATGTTGGATGGTGCACTGACTGGGAGGTGGGCTGAGCTGGCGATGACTTCTCCAGAACAAAGGGGGCATGGAGATGAAGATAGAGATGGTCCAGACAATGAGGATCATCAAGCCAGCCCGCTTAGCTGTCCTCTTCCTGGCATATTCAATGGCATTGGTGATGGCCCAGTACCTGTCCAGGGCAATCACACAGAGATGCAGGATGGAGCAGGTGCAGCAGGTCATGTCCACACTCAGCCATACCTCACAGATGAAATACCCAAGCTTCCAGCTCTCCATGACAATGTACATGATACTCAGGGGCATGACAAGCACTGCCACCAGGAGGTCTGTCACAGCCAGAGAACAGATCAAGTAGTTTGCAGGCTGGTGGAGCTTCTTGGTGGTACAGATGACCATGATCACAGCTGAGTTCAGCAGCATGGTCAGCGTAGTGATGATCACCAGCGTCATGCAAATGAGCATCTTCTCAGTGATGGTCTTGGACCTCACTGCCGTGCCGGCTTCTGTAGTGCAGTTCGTGATGTTCATGTTGCCCGGTTCCAATCAACCCTTCAGAGAAGCCGTGGCTTACTTTCCTTCAGTTGGAAACTGTGTAATCTTGAATATTTCTCATTTGTAAGGAGGCTGTTTTTTCCTCAGCTATGTAGTCTCTCTGGTTTCATTTTGTGGGAATAGAGGAAATGGCCACAGCATTTCAGCTGAATAGAGGACCCTGGAAAATATTAGGCACTGATTAGTAAATGAAAAGACAGCCTCTTCCTGGGAGACTTGATAATAATTTAGTATTAATTATTTACATATTTTGAATATAATTTGATTTTTCTGCTATGACATTTGAGATCATTATTTCTCAAAAAACATTGAGGTATGGTCCTGACAGTTCCTGATGGATACAGAACCAATTTTTAAATTATCTTGCCAAACTGAATTAGTTTATTATTTGTAATTATTAACACACACATATGTATGTACAGATCAGGAAATAGATAAAATGTCTTCTGCATTAAAAGATGTATATTTCCATTATGTAATAATTTAGGAATTCTGGAGACATTATATTAAAGAAAAACATAATGGAAATAATTTAGGAATTCTGGAGACATTAAAGAAAAATATATATTGCTTATAGTTAGCTGCCTCCAAGCCAGATTTGAACTATATTAGTATCACAGAGATTGTATAATTTGAATTATTTATGATATTTTACATATCTCAATATGCATTTCTCTAAATAAAAGAGAGAAAAACATACAGCATGTTTTTTTTTTTTTTTTTTTTGCTGCTTGTGGAAACTTGTAAACGGAGTAATGCAATAGATAAACTGTTAAACAGCGTTGTTACCAAACTCAAAGGTCTCTGACTAAGAAGTGTTTAACTTGGGTTAACATTCACAGTGCATCTGCCTCTCTGTCCACACATTCACCTATGCATGCAAACATCCATGCATCTCCCTGGCTCTAATGCCCCAAATCTAGGCATGATTAAGCTGACCACTTGTTGAGCTAGTCAATGACACTTTGACAAAGAACTGCTTTAAAATTTTCATTTAATTTTATTTCTTGAAGCAGAAAGCGAGAGCTTGAGATTCCATCTGCTGGTTCAGTCCTCAATTTCTATAACACCTGGGGCGGGGTTGGGCTAAACTGATCGAGGCTGAAGCCAGGAACCAAGCACTCAGTCTGGGTCTTTCATGTGAGTCGGGGGCTCAAGCGCTTGAGCCATTACCTTGGCCTCTTAGGATGTACATTAGTAGGAAGCTGCAGTCAGAAGCTTACCTGGGACGTCAAATCAGGTAATTTGATATGAGATGCAGCTGTCTTAAGAGGAATCTTAGCCACTGCACCCAATACCCATCTTCAGTTAGTGACATTTTTAAAGAAAGGTAAAGTCAAATATAAATGCAAATATATAAAAATTAATTTAAAAACAATTAAAACTTAATGATTATCCACAGATGATGATTGGTAAATAGAATGTTGACCAAACCTCTGGTTTAACTCCATATGATAAGCTCCTGGAAAACTTGAAAATTGAGTGTTTCAGCGGTTTTAAGACAGGACATAAATTGATTTGTATCAGTCTTAGTAGACATAATGATTTTAACAAAGGTTGGGGGTTGAAGCAGGTGAGGCAAATGGGAAATAGGGAGTGATTGTGGATGGGAGCCTTTGAATGGATTGAAGACTAAAAATAAGAAGGAAGGAATGAACTCTCCAGCCTGTGGATGAGATCTGAACTTAGCTTCTGCCCATAGAGTAAAATCAGTAGCAGGAGGAAAAAGGCAACACATATTCTTCAAATATGGAAAATAAAGGAAGAACAAAATAATTTCACTAAAGTTTACCAATGGGAAAATATTTTTAAGACAATCTGTATTTTCATGCAATTAAATGATACACTTCCTGTCTGTTTTAATTATGCTTTTAGTGTTTGGGGTGTTTCTTAGGTTGTTCTAGTTCTTCCATGAGGCTTGTTATGCCAACAGTATTCTTTCTCGTAGGTTAAATGTTTTCTTCTCCATTGGCATATTTTTATGAGTCATCCTTATTTTTTATTTACTTGTGAGGGAAAGAGAGAGAGAGAAAGAGAGAGAGAGAAAGAGAGAGAGAGAGAGACTCTGTGATCTACTAGTTCACGAAATGCCTGCACCACCCATGGCTTAGCTAGGTCAAATGCGGGAACCATGTTCTTGGTCTGGAAGGCATGAACCCAGGGACTTGAACCATTGCCTGCTGCCTCACGAGGTGAGCATTAGTAAGAAGCTGGAATGGAGAATGGTTCTGGGTCTTGAAATCAGCACTCTGATGTGGGGAGGAGGTGCTGATTGTTGTCTTGGGCAGTATAACAAGTGCAGTGACATTGAAAAGGACAGTTTGGTGAGGTCTGGGAAGTGAAAGGCTGATGCCTTGGTGTCAGGAAAGAATTAGAGGAAAGGAAACAATGAATAAGAAAATTTACATCAAGAGTTTCACTGACAGGTGATGTAGAAAAAGAATTTAGTAGCTGTGGAGGAATGTGAGGTCAAGATTGCTTTCAATTTTTTTTTTAGGGTGAGATATTGTCTTTTTAAAAATTATTATTATCATTTTATGATACAGTTCCATAGGCTCCTCGTATTTCCCTTTTCCCAGCCCCAATTCCCCACCCCCTTGTTCCTCTGTATCATTACTAAAGTATAAGTTCTTCATACACAGTCATATGTCCATCATCGCAGGCATGGACAGTGGCAGAGAGTCCAGAATCCTATTATCAAGATATAGTAAACAGTTTCATTGTGAGTCCATCTTTATCTGGAAGTAGAGATGCATACTACATTAGATTCTCACATCTGGATATGTTTGGCTCCGTTTCATAGCTATTGTACATCCCCTCAAATGAAAAGTCATAACACAAAATCAAAAATAGAAAGAAAAATAGAATTTTACAATACCATGAAGTTAAATAACATGTTACTAGATATGACAGTCTCCATTACACAGCTACTATACATCCCCTTAAATGAAAAGTCCCAAAACAAAATCAACAACAGGAAGAAGAAAGAAATTAACAACACCAAGAAGTTAAATAAATGCTACTAAATGACTAATGTGTAGCTGAAGAAATGAAAACTAAAAGCCCTCTTGCAGAATATGATGCTACTGTATGATCTATGAGTCACTGAAGAATTTAATCAGAAGTAAATGCCTTGAAGAGATGAAACAAACAAAACATCAAATTCCATTTGATATAGTTTTCGCTGATTTTTGTTTGTGAAATGTGTCAATTCTAGACAACAAATAGATGGGTTTTGTTTTTTTATTCAAGTCTACTAATCTATGACGTTTGATTGTACTTAAGCCATTTATTTTCAGGGCTAATATGTATGGGTGGTACTTTGGTCCTGTCATTTTAGGAATGGGTTATTCATTGGTTTAGTCTTCTGATGTCATTTTACTGGGATGTTCTTCACATTTGCCTTTGGTCTTGTTTGGTACTATTCTTCTCTGTCAAGAGAATATCTTGAAGTATCATTTGTAGGGCAGGTTTGGAAGAAGCAAATTCTTTTAACTTTTCTTGACTCTGGAAGAATTTTATTTCATTTTTCAAAGACAAAAGAAAGTTTTGCTGGATATTTTATCCTAGGCTGACAATTTTTTCCTTTCAGGATCTGGAATATGTCACTCCATTCTCTTCTTGCCTGTAGAGTTTCCTGTGAGAGATCTGTGAGTTAAATGGCATTTCTTTATATGTCAGTTGGTTTTTTCACGTGCACATTTAAGGATCTTTTTCTCATGTGTGAAGAGAGCTTGATGATCATGTGTCTTCATGAAGATTGCTTTTCATCAGGCCTGTTGGGAGTTCTGTGCCCTCCTTGGATCTTGTTTCCCAATGCTTTCTCTAGATTAGGGAAATTTTCTTTTATTGTTTCATTAAATACATTTGTAAAATCAGTTTCTCTTTCTGTACCTTCTGGGACTCCCATAACTCTTATGTTTGGCCTCTTAATAGTGTCTTTCAATTCTTGAATACTTTCTTTTGATCTGATCCAGCTCTGCTTCCAGGTTTTTGTTTGCTTTCCCCTGATGACAGATATACCTTCCAATTCTGAGATTCTTTCTTCTGCTTGCTTCATTCTATTTTGGAGACTCTCCACTGTACTTGTAATTTGCTCTACTGTGTTGTTAATTTCTGATATCAGCCTTGATTTGCTTTATTGCTTCCTTAAACTCTTTGAACTCTTGTATGTACTTCTCATTGCTGATCAATAGCTTTAAAATGATGTATGTACTTTTCATTGTTGATCAGAAACTTTAAAATGAGTTTTCTGAATTCTGTGTCTCCCATTTTCTTGATGTCTTCCTCAGTGAACTTTGAGGTTGGCATAGGGTTTTGATCCTTTGCAGGGGAGTTTTCAGTAATATTCATTGTGCCTTTGTCTCTTCTTTTGCTCTTGGTCATTGTAGTTCCGGTTAGCAGAGTCTTCTCCTTGGGGCAAGTTTCTAAGCTGTGTCACCCACGGGTCTGCAGTTTGATTTTACTTATTGCAGTTGGTACCCAACTCTTTGCTTGCAGCCAGTTGTGCCACTCCCTCCAGCAAGTTCCAGGTCTGGGTTCTTATGTTAGATTTTCACAAAGAACTCCGTAGCCCCAAATCCTGGCTCACCAATCTCTGCCTTCTGTGATACTGTGCTGAGGCTGCACCGTTGTCTCTGCAACCTTTGTCTCACCTTCAGTTGGAGCAAGTCCCAGGATTAGGGAGACACCAAATGTCCTATATAGCTAGATTGTTGGTGGTGCTGATATTGCTGGAACTTGTTGGCCGTTAGGTCTGGGTGCCACACGGACCTATTTTGACCAGTACGATGCCATAGTCGGTATTATTTTCCTGCAGGACCAGTGCAATCCACAGAACTCAGTGAGTTCTCGCGAGCTCAGCACATGTACAGTTCACTGTTGTCCCCTTGCAGTCCTAAAGTTTTTGCCACAGTGTACAAAATGGCGCCTGATGCACCACTACTAGAGTTCTTGATCTGCTGGCCGTCATAGCT